AGAGCTCTGGGATTGGACAGTGCCGTCCCCATTCGGCCGTCGTCGTGGACTCTGTCGACTGTCCTCGCCCCTTTGTCGAGGTGACGAGGCGCTGTGGTCACTGTCTTGCACATGCCGGACGCGCTCTCAGGAAAGCCAGGGCTCCCGAGGGCAGCTCCACACCATTTCATGTATTTTTAAACCCAACTCCTAGCACTGAAGATGTTATTAAAAAATAATAATAAAAATTTAAAAAAAGAAAGAAAAAAAGAAAAAAGAAAAAAAACCACAAAGATGAAAAATACCTAATCTCTAATGTGTAGCAGTTACATATTTACCAAATAATGGACTCAAAAGAAATAGATGTTTGAAGAGTGCTTTATATATTAAAAATTGCTTTATGTTTTAAAAATGATCAATGTTTTGATTGTTTTGCAAGGAAGAAAGACAATGGAATAACATACCCTCCAGTATGTTTTTAAAAAGTCTATGGACATTGTGCTCCCTGCCTGCTCGATCAGGAAACCTGTGCATTACATTTTTTTAATTAGCTTTTTAATGGTTTTATCAAAACAAAAAAAAACAAAATTTAAAAAAAATAGAAAAAAAAAAAGTCCTGCAAGATTGCAGATCAACAAAAGCTGGTTTTACAGAGGATCATGAACTATGCACAACCTAGGTTCAGAACTTCCCTCAAGCTTAGTAGTGCATCTAGCTGACGACCCCTCCTCAGAGTGAACATCGCGTTGCCAGTACATGCATCCTACATATTTGATATGCATATCAAATATACGTGCGCGTGTGTGTGTGCGTGTGCGTGCGTGAGCACTCAGTCATACAGCTCCCGTGCTGCCATTTAGCCCTGAGTCGTAGAGAAAACTCCCAATGTTTTAAATTTGGGGAATGGAAGAAAGAATCTGTTTATTTGGGGGTTTTGTTGGGGATTTATTTTTCCTTTTTTTTTTTTTTTGACATTTTATTTTGAATTTAAGATGTCTGTAACTCTTGAGATTAAAAAACAAGTTTGTGGCTCTTAATGTTTTTCCTCATAGAATGTGATTGTTGAAGAACATGCACCGAAAGTTGCTTTCAACAGTACAACGCTTTGTTGGATCTTAATAAATTGCAATTTTTTTCTTGGCTGTTCAAATTAATGTGTTTTTTGTTTTTCAAAAACAGATACTATCAACTTTGATTTTGTATGCTGAAACTAGGAGTTGTCCTGTGTAGGACAAATTCTCTGTCTTTTTGATATCTTCAATGTTTATATATAGTTAAACTCTGAATTTTAGTTGTTTGACATATTTTATCATTTGTTTTCTGGCTTTGCTATTAATGTTTAAATCTTAATAATTGTTGGGAAACAACAGTTTTCAAGCTCTCCACTACCAGCGGCCGCCTGTCAGCCTGGTGCATGTGAGAAACAGTGCCGTCTGGAAGAACAGCAGGCTGATCCTGGGTCTGCTGGGGTGCAATGAGGACCAACCCTGTCACCAGGATCCAGTGTGGGCATAAGAAATTATCAGAGAAGGCCAGGCACGGTAATGCACACCTGTAACGCCAGCCTCAGCAATTTAGCAAAGACCTGTCTCAAAATAAAAAAATGGCTGGGGATGTGGCTCAGGGGTAGGGCACCCCTGGGTGCAATCCCCAGCACCAAAAAATAACAATCACAGAAGCCAGGTGCAGTACTTTCACGCCCTTGGTCCCAGCTCCTCAGCAATGATGGCTTGAGCCCCAGAGTTCAAAGTTAGCCTCGGAAACATCAGAGAAGAGTACAACAAAGGTCTTCTGTGTTTCCTGGACGTTTTATTCATCTGTTTTTAAACACTGCCTTAGCTTAACTTCTACCAAGCTTTTGTACCAGTGTGGTGGGACTTGCCATGCTGGGCAAAGCAGCAGCAGCCTTGCCACAGGATTCCAGGTGGCAGATTTGAAACTTTTCTCACTCCATCCTGGAACACTTGCAGCCTGAGCTTGACGTGTTGGTGCTTCTGTTTGATCAGTACCGAGAGTGTCTCTGGACAACACGCCAAGTGCCCGTCAAGACCCCTCAGGGACTGGAGGAATGACTCCCCTGGCTCTTGTGCATCAGTTCCACCTCCTGTCAGCTGGCCCCCCGAGAGGGTGGCCAGCCACTGGCCCTGACCAGCTTCTTCTGAAAGTTGAGAAGGGCCTTAAGGGGACCATAAGCAGAGGAAGATGGAGTTCAGAAATGGGACCTACCAAGTGCACTTGGCATTCAACACTCCGTCAATCAGGAGCTGCACCTTGGCACTATGTGCAGACATTCAGCAAGGGGTCGCTTTATGCCAGTGTGCTGAGCTACAGAGGGTGGGTCCACCTGCTTTTCTTCCCTAGGAGAAGTCCAGGGCCTTCAAGTTGCCCAGCAGGAGCAGCACACTGCTGGCACCTGCCCCTGGCCTGCAGGGCCATCAAATTTTAAGAGTCTGAGGAAGGTGAGGGGCAGGTTCAGAGCAGAGTGGGGGGACCCTGTGTGAAGGCCTCGGGGCTGGACAGGGGTTCCTGGTATCCAGCGGGAAGAGGCCTGAGTTCTGGAGTCAAGGAAACTTGGGTTTGGAGCTATTCCTGCACCAGCGTGGAAGGTTGATGGAGAGGGGTGCTCAACAGAGGCGGCGTGTCAGAGAAAGCTGGAGAAGAGGTACAAAGGGAGCCCAGAACATGGACAGAAGACAAGGTCAGAGGTGCCCAACAGCTGGCCTATGTTTGGTGGGAAGAGGAAAAACAGGGGCAGCAGGCATTTCAAGAAGATTCCTTGCAGGAAGAGAACCTTTGGCTGAACTGAGAGAAACACCCAACGCAGGATCAAAAGGGAACCTGCGCTCAGTTTCCAGCTTTGCACATAGCTCTTCTCCACTGACTTCCTGCTGACAAGCCACCGTACAAGGAATGTCCCCTGATGGAGCAAGTGCAAGTGCAGCACAGCTGGCCTCAGGGCCACAGCAAGGGTAGAATGACCTGGGGTGCTTAGGCCAGTGCTAGGCACATGTAAACCAACTCAGGGTCCCTGGGGTGGCAACCCCAGTCTTAAAATCCCCATCCTTCCCCTGTGCAGCCAAGATGGAGAAGCAGAGACAGGCGCCTTGTCCTCAGCCTGCGGCAGTCTCCAAGTCTTGACTCGATTTCATTTGGCAGATATAGTGAGCTTTTTTCCTTCTTCATTTTTCTTTTTTTTTTAAGTAAATTTAAGTGCAGGGGCTGAGGAGTAGCTCCCTGGGTTTGAACTGCAGCACTGCCCAAAAACTCAAGTGTGCCAGGCACAGTGCTAAGCACTTACAGGAGCTGTGTCATTTGCTACAGTGGTCCCAAGAGGTGAAGAACTGGAGTAAGAGAGGTCACAGAGCATGCCCAAGCCCATCCACGTAATCCCGAGGACCTTAGGGTCACATAGTTCAGAGAACAGAACCACGAGGAAGTAAAGAAGGAAGAGAAGTGACCCAAGCAATCATGGAGCTACCAAACCTCAAGTGCACAGGTGGGCAGCAAGCTGAAGACAGGAATGGGCACAGAATTCCTTCCTCTCCAGGAAACCTGAGTTTGGCTCTTTAAGGCCTTCAACTGATTGGATGAGACCCACCCACATTATCAAAGCTGTTAACCACACCTGCAGCTTCCCTTACAGCAACCTCTGGATTCAAATCCAAAGAAGTCACTGGTGCTACAGACTGGCCTGACACAAGACTGGCAGGACACTAGGTAATTCTACCAACACCATGGTCAGCTTTTTGAGCATCTGTCAGAGTAGCTTGTCCTGGTCTCGTGGAGTTGTGAGGCAGGTGAAGTGGCCTCAGTAGATGCAGACTGACGGCAGTGCTCAGTCACCCAGCAGTGATCCATGTGTGCTCCCCATCCTACAGAAGGGCCGTGAGAGAGAGGACACACCTCCTGGACGGGGCCTGGGGACTCCGGGTCAGTTGCACACTTTCTGGACTCTCTACTCAGTTTCACCCAGCAGCACCACGTCCACAGATGGAGCCAGAATTGTTCCCTAAGGTCAGTACCTGCTACCTGCAGATGTCCCTCAACACTGCCCGACTTGGTTCAGCCATGACGGGTGAACCACAGGAGTGATGGCAGCTGCCTCTGGACGTCTGTCCCCGGGAGGGAAGGCTCCCGTGAGCAAGGGCCCAGGTGGGGGGCAGCTGGTAGTCAGCAGAGCTCACTCTGCCTGGCCTTTTCCAGATTCCACTAAGAATCATGAGTGGCAGAGCCATTGCTGCCCCTGATCCTGTGCGCATCTGCAGATCAGGACACTGGGGCTAGGAGTGGAAGGCTGTCCCCTCTTCCCTGTACCCACTCTCTGTCCTAAAGCATTCCACAGGCTCAGCCTGCCAGACCCACCCCTACCCCCAGCCAGCCATGATCAGGCCTGCCCCAGCCCCTGGGCATTCCACACATCAAGCCCCATCCACTGCAGGACCTGGTGCTGGTGGCTCCTCTCCCCAAGGCTCCTGTCCTCCCTCCACATCCTTCCCTAAATTTGCTTCCCCCACTGGTCCACTTATGGCCCTGGACACAGCCTGGACCTGTCCACCTACCCTGCAGACACAAGTCCTCTCCCAGATACAGGGTCAGGCTGGTCAGGGGCAGTGTCTCAAGCCTGCCTCCAAGAGTTTGGCCAGCAGAGGGCACCCTCTGGCCCAGAAACTCCATGGCCCCTGAGCCAAGTTTCCACGACACCCTGCCACACAGACATCTTGAGCACTGCAGGAACCCCCTACACATACCTGGCCAGGCCCAGGTTCCAAGCACAGCCTCCCAAGACAAGCCCATTTTGCAAAACCCATTTAATGTAAATAAATAAGAGTCCCAGATGGGGCAGGGCCCCCTGGGGGCACGCAGGCCCCACCTGCCCACTCTCTGGGCTCCATCTTCAGCTCAGCTCGGCCTATGGAAGGGGGAAGCAGGGTCACTCCACCATCCTAGTGTCCCACAGGGTCTCAGATCCTCGTCTCTGCCTGCCAGGACGTAGTGACAGAGCGCAACTGGGGGTGCTGGGGGAGCCTGCCAGGCCCCTCACTGTCCCACCAGCTGTCCCCTCCGTCTGCAAGCAGGGCAGAGGGCGATACGGCCTCCTCGTTTCTGTGAGCTCTGCCAGAAAGGAAAGTCAGTGAGGGCCCAACAGCTTGGCCAGATGCCAAAATTCTTTCCAAGTCCCTGGCAGAACTGGAGGCCTCCCAAGGCTGACGGAGGATGGAGGCAGGTGGGCAGCAGGCTGGAGTGGAGACAGCCACTAGATTCACCTTCCATGGATTTGCTTGGGGGAACTGAACTGGGAAATTTCCACTTTTGCTGGTCAAATGCTGTCACATGTCAACAATTTTGTGTGATGTAAGCAACAAGCAGCAGCCCTGTGCTGTCGGCATGCTTCCTGTGCAGGCTGCAGCAGTGGAGGGGCTCGGGGAACACGGTGCCTCTACCCACAGTGGCGCCTGGGTGATGCCAATCCCTCTACCTGGGGAAACCAAGGCCAAGAGTGCATGACCTCCAGGTCCCCAAGGCTAGTTCAGGGGCCAGCATGTCTATCCAGTGAGTGACTGAGTCAGGGTTTTATTCTGAGATGCTTCCAAACGCAGGCCTGCTGCTGGGGAGAAGTCCTGCTGGCCATAGCTACAGACCTGCAGATATGACTCTGGGGCCAGCTTCTCCATTTCCCCAGCAGGTGGGCCATGGAGGAAGTGGGAGAGCCAGGYGTGTGTGGCTCTGCACTCGTACACACTTGTGCATGTACGTACTGGTGTCTGTCCACCAGGCAGAGGGAGCTGCGAGGCCACCCTCCTGTGGCTATGTGCATGTGTAAGCTGAATAAGTGGGTCTGCGTCTCGGCCATCTCCCTTGCCCTTGCCCACAGGTAACGATGAAGGCTGAAGCCAGCAGAAAGACTGCACAGTCGGGCTATCGGGCCTTGACAGGAAGGAACCATGTCTGTGCTTGGCCAGCCCAGCCTTGCTGCAGGGCAGCCACAGCAGAGGCTGACTCTGTGGGGAGGTGGCCCAGCTGGGCTGGCACTTCATGGCTCACGAAGAGAGAAACAGAGCACTGGGGCAAGGGTGTGCAAGGCTTTGGCTCCTGCTTCCTCCTCCCAACCCAGCCTCTCTCAGCAACCCAGAGAGAGGCTGGCTATCCAGCCCCGGCCCCTCCCACGCGACTCACAGAGGCCTCTTCCCCTCCCCGGCCCTTCACCTGCTCCTCTCCTTCCTCTCGTAGACAGAGTGAAGCCTGTTGATCAAGAAGATCTTGTCTTCCCCCTCCTAGGGAGGCCAGAACACAAGAGGTGAGAGACAGAAGGTGTCCCCGCTGGGTCCACCCAGAGCTGGCCTGTTCCAGACCAGGCGGCGGAGCTCACCAGGGGAGTCAACAGCTCCAGGAGCAATTTTGTTGGTAGCCAAGCAGATTGGTTCCCAGTGCCTGGTGACCTGGCTCTGCCCCAGAGCACCCTGCAGTGTCTATGAAGAGGGGCCACAGGCTCCTTGTGGCACCTCGTTTTCCTCTAGCAAGTCATTGACAGAAAAGGAGAGGATGGAGCTGGGCGCCATGGCCATGCCTGTCATCCCACTCGCTCCAGAGGCTGAGGCAGGAGGACAGGAGGAGGCAAGTTCCAGGCCAGCCTCAGCAACTTAGCAAGAAGTGTCATGAGAAAAAAAAGCGGGGTGAGGCGGGGGGGGGCTGGGGACGTGGCTGGGCGGTAGAACAGCCCCAGGTTCCAGTACCAGAAAAGGAAAGGCTGTTCACTCTACAGGCCGCCAGCGAGGACCCCGGGAGGGCCACAGGAGCAGCCACGCCTGCCCTGCAGCCCCTGAGACGGACTAGGAGCAGGGGCTCAGCCTCGTGCACACCGTGCACCAGGGTCCACCTGGACAAAGGCCTCTAATTCCAGAGAAATGGAGGGCAGCTGGGACTCTCCTCCCGGTGCCACTGTGCCTCCCCACACAGCACCCCGACGCAGTGAAAGGTGGCATGGAAGGGCAGGAGCCATTTCACCAAAAGCCTGCTTCTGATGGTGTGGCCAGACGAGATCGCCTCGGCCGGACACCTGGCTTTGAGCTCAGCCCCAGCGTGAGAGGCAGGAGCGGGGTCTATGTGGCTGTGCCATTTACCACCCAGGAGCCATCCCTGAGAGCTTCCCCTGGCCTGACCGCTGCCACCCTTGCTCCTGACACCAACGGCAGACACCAGCCCCTGACCTCCATCAGGGTGAGTGCTAAAGAGAAGCCCCAGGCCCAGTCCTGGCCGGACATCTGGAAACTGGCACCCCGCAGGCCAAGGTGGCCAAGTGCTCGACAGAATGGCCCTGGATGAGGTCAGAGCTCAGGACGGTTCGTTAAGGCCACCACTGGGAATCTGCAGGGGTCACAGTCTAGCACCCTGAAGGAGATGACCCCGCCACAGGCCAAGGCATTCCTGAGAAGAGGCCAGCAGGAGTGACCAGCCAGGAAAGTGCCTGTGTCTCCTTAATAAAGAAATGTCTTCCAGCCTCATTGCCCTTCTTTGTCCAATGAGAGCACTGACCAGGGCCCGCCTTCCAGCATGGTCCCTGGAGAAGACCAAAAGCCATTTCCAATAGTTCAGAAACCCTGCCCAACACTGCACCACAGCAGGGCCACACACTCAAACTGGAGTCCCGTGGGGCCCCTGCAACCGGGAGCTCTGGCCAGAGCCCTGGCCCTGTCACCTCTACACCTGCTTAACCAAATCACGCCGATGAGTCCATGGAAACTACCATCCAAGATGCTCAGGGGAGGGGTGCAGGGCCTGGGGGAGCTGGCAGGTGACCAGGCATCCCCCAGGTGTGGTAGGGAGGGAAACTCACATTGCGGATCTGCTCCTTAAGGAGGGAGATGACCTTCCGCTGGCCCTTCACCACCTGGATGTTGAAGTAGATGATGGCCCTGCAGGAGATAGTGGTCAGGCTGGCAGCAAGTGGCAGGGAGGGCCAGGACAGGATAGTGCCCAGAGCAGGAGCCTGGGGATGGGTACTCTCTGGGCCAGGGCCCCATGGCAGGCTGCATCCTGTCAGGAGGCCCCCGGAGGCCCTGCACTCACAGCAGCAGGGCAGATGCCAAGAAGAGGAAGAAGGTGCTGTCCACCAGGTACCRGTGCAGCCAGGGCACCCAGGAGGCCCCGGGGCCTGCACTCTCCAGGTGGCGCACCCACACCCTGCCTGCCTCATACATGGTGTCCAGGGTCCGAAAGGGGCCGCAGGTGCTCGAGGGCTTCACCCTGAGGGAAGAGGTTAATGGGAACCCTCTGGGCAATGGGCCTTCCACCCACTTCCCCCCCAAGCTTCAGAGGAAGGCAACCTCCACAGCACTCCAAATCCTAGGCGGGTCCTCCAGCCAAGCACCACCCCCCAACCCAGGAATGCCCACCCCATCCGATGCCTACTCACTGCCACACGGCATAGCAGAGGAAGATGGCGGCACCCAGGAAGGACGGGAAGCAGAGCAGTGTGAGGAAGACGGTGCTCATGTGCGAGGCCAGCCAGGGCCTGCGGGGAGCTTGGCAGTTGGCCATCAGGCTGGCCTGGGGAGAAAGACCACAGTTTGCCACAGCCACAGCACCTGTGGAGGGCCCTTCCCAGACCCAGGGCCCCAAGGGAGGAAGGGCAGTGGCCTGGAGGGTGCCGTGCATTCCAGGACAGGACCTGGACCTCACTGCGCACACTACAGGACTGTGGCAGCCATGGGCAGAAAGGCCAGCACTGGGAATCTGACCACAGGGCTGGAAAGAGCCAGCAGGGCTTCCCTCCTCGCCTAGAGGGGGGCACTGAGGCACATAGGACACACTGCCCAAGGTCAAGCCAGCAAAAGGGTTGAACCCAGGGCTGGGACACAGCTCAGTTGGTAGAGAGCTTGCCTCGCATGCACAAAGCCCTGCATTCAATCCCTAGCACCACCAAAAAAAAAAAAAAAAAAAAGGGTTGAGGCCAGCAGCCACCTCCACTGACTGAAGGTTGACACTGTGCCCAGCTCTACGTCTGACCTATCCCAGCCCTGCAAGGGCACTGGTCCCACCATGCAGGTGAGCAGATGGAGGATCAAGGAGAGCTCAGAACCAGTGTGGGCAAAGTCACTGGCTCTCAGCCCTGAGCATGCCTGCTGAGAGCAGTACCCAGCACCCAGCACAGCACAGGCCCCAATGAGACCTCTGAACCCAGTGCCGGGCTTGCCCAAGGCAGGTACACCAGGGACATGCCCAGCCCTAGGCCGTGGCCCCACATAGTTGGACAGGGAAGAGTCTGCCCAGCCCACGGCACCTATGGGCTACCAGAGCTGTGTGCCCACCCACTGCTGCTCCCCCACCAGCTGCTCACTGCTCAGCCATATTACCTTCTTGACCAGGAAGAGGAGCAACAGCCTGAGGACCTGCACAGCCGGCAGTAGAGGCGAGAAGAGGACCCCCAGCCTGGAGAAAGGGCACAGCCATAGTCAGCACCCCACCTCCTGGACCCAGCTCAGATGGGAACAAGTTGCCCGGTGCACCCTCTGCTGCTGCCCAGGACTAGCCCGCTGCTGCAAGGGAGGCTAGGGCCAACTGTGGCCCAGGAGGGCAGGTGTGGGCCCCAGGGAAAGGGTCACGGACCACAGTGCTCTGCCTGCCCTAGGAATTGGGCAGTCAAGGCAAGTGGGGGCACCTCACCAGGTCAGAGTCTGCCCATAAATCAGGTCCAGAACATTCCTTGCAATATCGAACTCAGGTTTCCGCCTCCTCTTGAGCTTCCTCTCTGAGATGAGCCTGGGTAAAGAAGGGGCCTGAAGACCCTCATCCCGCCTTGGAAGGCACCAGGTTGGTACACGTGGCCCTCCCCACACAGGCAACCAGCCTGTGACAGGAGAGAAAGCAGCCATCCTGGAACATTCAAGGACTGGACACTGCAGCTGGCCCCACTCAACCTTTCTCTAAGTTAGTGAAGATACACCTGACCTAAGCACACAGCGGCAGCAGCAAAAACTGCAAAGTTTTTTTAACAATCTTGTTTTTTATTACTAAACTCATATATTTAAAAAAAATAAGGAAATAAAAATCATCTGAAGTCTAGATTCTACAATAGCCCACCAGTGACACTTTGAAGATGCTCTCCACTCTCTTTCCTCTTTTCCTTTGAACAAGGCTAATACTGCGACACATGTATCTCTTAGACACCTCATTTTCCTTTCCAATCTAAAAACACGACCCAAATCAGACACAGTGGCGCACACCTGCAATCCCAGCAACCCGGGTGGCTGAGGCAGGAGGATCTCAAGTTCAAAGCCAGCCTCAGCAACTTAGTGAGGCCCTGAGCAACTTAGAGATACCCTGTCTCTAAATAAGAAATAAAAAGGGCTGAGGATATGGCTCAGTGGTTAAGGGACCCAGGACCCCAAAAAATAAATAAAAATTAAAAATAAATATATAAATAAAACACATTGCATTCCACCTCCTGCACCTTCTGGAAACTTCAATAAGCTTTGGCATGATGCAGATGTACGAGGGTGGGAGGCCCCACCCGTCTGAGGCCCAGCCTCACTTCCCAGGTAGAGTGTCCAGGTTCAATACAGGGTGGGAAGCCAGCCCAGCCCATCCAGACCCCCTTGCCTCCACACCAGCTCCCCAAACAGCGTGTCGAGCAGTGCGAACAGGAAGTCCATCACCATGAACCGGTACAGCTCCTGGCCCACGAAGTCCTCCCAACACTGGCCCTGCAGGGCAGCCACCCTGCGGCCCAGCCAGTGGTAGCAAAGAATGCCTAGGATGGCCATCTTGAGGATGAGGTTCCTGCACAGAATGGTGGAGGTGAGTGTGAAGGCCAAGGGAGGGGCCAGCAATAGCAGGCACACCTGGGGAGCCCATGCCCGCCCAGCCACACACCTGGAGATGGCCACGTACACCTCCAGCCCTGGGGACTCATGCCGCTCCAGGGCAGCCAAGCCACGGAACAGGTAGGAGGCCCCCAGGTTGAGGAGGGAGACCACCAGGGGCAGAGCCAGCAGCCTCGCCTCCTGGCCCGCAGACACCGGGCTCTGCAAGGCACCAGGGGAGGGATGCGGTCACTGAAGCACCCCACCAAAGGGGTCACGTCCACTCTGACTGACGGGCTCGGAGGGGGCAGAGGGGCTGTGGGAAGGGGCCCAGGGGCAGAAAGCCAGGCAGCACCTCCGTGCCCAGGAGTGGCCCACCCAGGCTCAGTTCACAAATACAGGAAGTGGGGAGGGGGTGCACAACCAGAGGACAGGGGAGGGCAGGGAAGAAGGAGGGAGACTGTAGCCCGGCCTGAGGGGTCCTCCCCGGCCCCTGCCCGCACCTGGATCGTGACCTCTGAGAAGACGAAGACGGCCACAGAGCAGCCCAGCATGGTGCCCAGACACAGCAGCCACGCCAGCCCCAGCAGGACCGCCCGCCGCAGCCGCCCACGCAGGCTCTGGGGGCTCCTGTGCAGCTGCCACTCAGCCAGCAGCTCCTGTGGGGGCAGCAGGACCTGTCACCCGGCCCACAGCACGGACGTGCAGATACACAGCACACAGGCAGGACAGAGGGACAGGTGGCTGCCAGGCTCCCTGTGCTGCCTGCACCTCCTGCTGCCCCAGGCCTCCCCGCCTCCCCGGCCCCCTCTGCCTGCCCCAGCAGCATCTCCAGGAAGCCTCCTGAGTGCCAGCCAGCTGCCCTCTGTTCCCGTGGCCCCTGAGGTGAGGACACATGCCCCCCACAGGAGCTGCCAAGAACCTGGTCACAGCTGAGCTCTCCACAGCACAAGACCCGGGACGACAGAGGACTTCCACATGGCCCCGCGCCTGAGACCTTGGGCAAAGGACGTGACCTCCGTGCCCACTTCCTCTCTCGTACTCCTTACTCACAGGGCCACTGTGGCCATTCAGGGACTAAAGGAGGGTGGTGGGCAGTTATCACCCCAGGGCCGCAGGACAGGAGGCACAGACCCCAGAAAAGGCCCTGGGAGGGAGTCACCCTAACCTGCTGGGGCTCCCACCGAGCCCTGCTCACCCCCAGGGCCAGGGGAGCCCGAGGCCGTGTTGGCAGCACTGGCCCTGTCTGCACATGGCAGATCACCCACCACGCACCATCCCAGCACCTCGCGGCCAGCTCACAGACGGCTCCCGGGCCACCTGGGCCCTGGCTGGCTGCAGGGACTGGCAGGCTGGTTTGGAGTTCTGGGGCCGTGGGGCAGGGCAAGTGGCCTCTCACCTTCAGTTGGGTGCGGATGTTGTCCTGCTGGAGGCGAGAGGCCCGCTTCTCAGTCACCTTGTAGTCCCAGGAGCAGAAAACGGTGATGGCGTGGACGCCCTTGGTGCTGCCCACCCGGTAGCTCTCCCCAAAAGCATGCGACATGCTGGGAACAAGCAGAGATGGACAGGGTGACAGGGGCCTAGGGGAACGGAGGCCAAGGAGGAAGGCAGGACAAGTCCTGCAGCCTCCTGCTCTCACCTTGCGCTGGGCAGCCATGCCCTCAGCTTCCTGCCCGGAGTGGACTGCTAGGTGCTCTGGGCCAGCCCTGTCTGACACACGCCCACAGGAAGATGAGCCAGGGCTTCACTCACCATTAACAGACACCACATGGAAAACGCTGGACTCACCTCAGGGCCTTTGCATTGCTCACCCAATGACCACAGCACCTCCCTTCTGTTCTTCTGCCCACTCTTACTTAACCTTCCCCACACCTGTGCAAATGCCCCCAGGGCCCGGATTGTCCCAGCCCATTCACTGCTCTTTTCCCAGGGACAGCAAGCTTCTTTAGGTTAGGCCTAAAGAAGGCTTGGGTACCTTCCTGCCCAACACTTGAGGGAGGAATGGAGAGGTGGATGGTGGGTGGGTGGATGGGTAGATGGACAAATGGGTAGATGAAAGTAAGGGTGAATAAACAGATAGATGGGTAGATAGATAGGCTAATGGATGGATGGGTGGGTGGATGAGTGGGTGGGTGGACAGGTGGATGAACAGGTAGAGGGATGAATGGACAAAGGATGGAAGGATAGATAGGTAGATGGAGGGATAGAAAGATGTATGGGTAGACGGGTGAGTGGATGGGTGGGTGGACAGGTGGGTACATAGGTGGATCAATGGATAGAGGGATGGATAGATGATAAATGGATAGGTAGAAGGATGGACAGACGGTGGGTGGATAGGTAGAGGAACAGGTAGAGGAATGGGTGAATAGATAGAAGAAGGATGAATGAATGATGGATATATACATGAATAACGGATGGACGGACAGGTGAGTGGACAGATGGGAGGACAAATGGGTGGAAGGAAGTGCCACTGGACATATGGGTGGTGCTCAGAGCCAGGATCACGTGGCAGAAGGCCATTACCTGTAAACCAAGGAGATGCAGGTGATGAAGAAGGCCGCCCCCATGGTGAAGAGGTAGGCCAGGGGCATGTTGTAGGGCAGGCTGCTGGCCCCGGGGCTGCACTGGTGGCCATCCCGCGGAGGGACGCAGGGCTGGTTCAGCGTGGCGTTGCTGTAGTACCCATAGTACATGACAGTGTGGGTGAAGCAGCCCTGTGAGGAGGCAGAGCCAGGTCAGGACTCCTCCCGCCCAGCCCACCCGCTCTCAGGCCTCCAGAGGCAGGGGCCGAGTCAGGGGCAGAAGGCGGCCCAGGGGCTCCTCACCCCGCCTGTGAGGAGCTCCAGCCCTGTGAAGGCGGGGGCAGGGTCCGGCGGGCCAGGCGGGAGGGCAGCTTGCACCCCCACGAGGAGGCCCAGCAGCAGCAGCAGCAGCAGCCCGTTGAAGGCCAGCAGGGTCTTGAGGAACAGGAAGTAGGAGAGCACGCTGGAGCCGAACTGGCCTCCGATCTGCTTCAGTGTGTGGTGCCACGGCCTCACTGCCTGCAGGCCAGAGAGCAGCGCCAGCCCTAGGCTATGCAGGGCCTGCGGGGACAGTGACAGGAAGGCTCTAAGGGCTAGGACCACACAAGTCACCCGCGGCCCCAAGGCAAGGCCAGAATTAGGAGGCCACTATCAGGGCAGCGGCAGAGGAGCGGTCACCCACCGCCTGGCCCCACTGCACACGAGACCCCAGCCCCACAGACTCCTACCAGGATGCAGGCGTATCTGAGCTGGCTGCAGCAGGAAAAGACACCCCCACGGTCCTGCCGGGCCCTCTGCTTCCCCCTCTGTACCTGGCTCTTCTCTCTGGGGACAGAGGCTACTATCAGTGACTGACCCTCAGAGGGGCCACCCGCCCACAGGCTTGAGACCCTTCTATCTGGCCACTTTCAGCTTAATTGAGGAAGTAGGTCTTAAGACCATGCGAGGCTGGGGGACACTCACCGCAGGCAGCGTTTCTCAGCCAAGTTCAAGGGCATCCCCCGGAGCATGTGGTCCCGCTGGGCCACCGACAGGCCCTGAAGCTCCTTCACCAGGAGGCCTTGCTTCTCTGCAGCRAGAGAGGCTCAGCTGATGCCCAGCATCCCTCCCTTCTGCCCATGGCCAGGGTCCTGGACAGGTTATCACCCAACACAAGCTCTGTACCCTGCTGCGGGGCCTGGCTGGCTCCTCTCCAGGGTGCACCAAAGCCAGACCCAGGCCAGCAGTGTGAGTGACCACCCAGCCCACACCCCCTCCTGCTGGCCACATAGAAGGGTCTCAAGTCTGTGGGCGCGTGGCCCCCAGGAAGGACCCAGGCCCCTTTGAGGTTCAGCCACTGATGGCAGCCTCTGTCCCTCCCCTCCCTCCACCCCCTGGAGCCCAGAACCCCTTCTCCTGTCTCCACCAGGCCCCCAGAAACCTCTGGGCCCAGTGAAACCCCACCATCTCCCATCACCTCCCAGCTGTGCTCAGCCTTTGCTGGGAGAAGTTGAGGCAGGACCCAGCCTGGGTGCTCACAGCCCTGACGCCAACTGCCCCCACACACTGTTTCGGAGATGGCCTGGCCAGGGCACTCTGAAACCTCAACAGCAAGAGGTTTAGGACCCAGAGCCGGGGTGTGGCTCAGTCACAGAGCGCTTGCCTAGCGTGTGCAAGGCCCTGAGTGCCATCCCACCACCACAAAGAAAAATAACTGAAGCGTTCCAGGACCCACAAGAGTTCTCCTTTCATCGAAGAAGTTCAAACCCACCATGAGGTTAGGCCAGTGGCAGCAGATAGGCCACACAGGGTCAGGGGCCAGTCAGTCACCACACTGGGGGTCTGAAGCATGGGTGCCGCCTCCCTGCATCCTCACGACGAGCAAGGAGGTGAGTGCTACCTTAATCCCAATTCCACAGATAAGAAATGAGCTCGGGGGCTGACACATGGCCTGATCCCAGAGTAAATGGTGACCCATTTGTCACCCTCACCCAGGGCCCACACCATCCTGCCCTGCTCCATCACCTACCAGACCCTCCCCACAGCCTCAGCTACTCAGACAGGCTGGGGGGCTCCTGCCTCAGGGTCTCTGAATCTGTCCCCTCTGCTCTAGTCATTTCCAGGAAGCTTCCCTGGACCCTCCAGGCTGGGCTGGCTCTCAGGACGCTCTTCTCGGAGACTGATCTGAGCCCTGATCATCTGCTTCTCTGTCTCCTTGGCTCATGTCTGTCTCACTGGGCAGAAGGGGGGGTGCATGAGGGCTGCACTGGTCTACTGGCCACCGTTGCATGCCCAGTGTCAAAACCGCCCACTGTCAGACACACTCCCATGCTCCAGGGCACGTGGCAAATGCTATTCAGTGCCTGTTGGGCATGGCCCGAGCTGTCTGCAACCTGAAGCCCCCACTTGCCTGCCCCGAGAGTCCCTGAGGAGGGACCTCAAGGAAGAAGGCTTCCTCACTCTGTTGCGCCCCAGCCCCCTGCCCACCCGGACCTCCTGCCCACATCCCTGCAGCTGGTGTTCAACACCGCACTTAGGCCCCCACTCACTCACCATCCTCCTCGAGGGCCGTGGGGCCCAGCTCTAGGTCATACAGGCGGAGGCTGGGCCGGGCAGAGTGCACCATGTCGCCGAGCAGGGGCCGGCTGCCCCGGTGCCGCAGCTTCACCGTCCGGTTGTAGTACTGGGAGATGATGGCCCCGCGGCTGCGGCCTAGAAAGGTGCGTGGCAAAGTGGGGAGGACAGAGTCAGGCCGGACCTTGCCAGCCACCAGGACGGCTCTCAGCACCAGGCCTCCCCATCCCTCAGGTCTTCCCAGGGCCCAAGAAAATTCCTCTATCAGAGACCTTAGGACCCACTCATTCCAAAAAACCCAGCAAGGCAGCGTGGGGTAGCGCGGGGCCTCCAGGCAGCAGGCAGGGTGGCCCAGAGCCAAAGGGCCTGGCTCAGAGGGGCACAGATGCCCAGGGAGGGGGTCGAAGCCAGCAATGAGGGCAGAGGCTCCAACTCACCGATGGTGCGGCTAGGCATGCTGGCCAAGATGCGGAGTGTGGCTGCGCTGTGGACAGGGGCACCCCCTGGCTCCAGGAGGGTCTGGTGACCACTGCCTATAAAAGAAGGAGATGTCCCTGCCCAGCCACTTTGCCCACCCCCTGGCCAGGAGGGTGATCTCCAGCTCCTGTCCTCTCTTGCCAGCCTCCCAGCCTGGGCTCACCTAGGACCCCCAGGGTTCCGGCCACCAGCTGCCTCTGCTGCAGCTCCAGCTCCTCTGCCAGCTGGCTCTGCTCCTGGATGAGCTGGTGGAAGGAGTCATGCACCTCGCTCTCCTCATAGGGACTGGGCTCCTGGCTGCCAGGCGGGAGAGGACGAGGGAATCCAGGCTCCACTCAGAAACGGTAACACAGCCACCATCCACCAGTCCCCAGCCCCACAGCACTTACTCCTGGTCCCCTAGAGCCTCAGGGACGTTGAGGACCAAGGCCAGTGGCTGGGCCATGTCTGCGGTCCACGTCCAGCCCGTCTGCAGACTTAGGGCAGCTCAAACCCTGGACACCACCTCTGGAGACTCCCACTGCCCATCTGATGAGACAGAGACAAAGTCAACCCTCAATGCCTGGCACACATCCAAATGGCCTGCTCCCTGGGGGACCAAGCGGCCTGCCCCCTCTCCTACCCCCCACCCACAGGGGAGCGACCCCAAGTAACTCTCATGCCAAAATGGCTGAGGAAGAGGGAAAGAGAAAGAAAGGAAGGAAGGGTGTGGACCTGCAGTTCCCATCAGTTTCCTCGAGGTCCTCAGTGGTCACTAGTGCCTGGAAAATGAGGAAGGGGTGGGTGCCTATGGACGCTGCCCTTTTCAGGCCCTCCATTCCCAGGGTGCTGCCCCAGGGACACTTTCCTCTAGGACAAAGGTCAGGGCAGCTCAAGGCCTGGCCTGTGCCTGCCCCGTAACCCCAAAGCCCTTCCTCTAGCAGGAAATCCGCCAGGCAGCCCTGAACCCTGCCCCCAGCCCCAGCGGAAGCAGCACACAGAAGGGCTCCTGCCCCCACCCACTGAGTGCTCCATTCTGGCCTTCAAGGTCCTCTGGTCCTCAGGAGACTGACTCCCTACATTCCATCACCACAGGGTGGCCATGGGGGAGGATGCTGGGCCCAAACAGGCCCCCTTTGTGTTGGCTCTGGCGTCACCCAGCACAAGTGGAGCCAGCATGGCCCTGTGTGGGGCTGGGCCTCTGGGCCTAGTGCCCTGTGGGAGTGGGGTGCCCGACACTGTTGCCAACGGGCTGACTCTGCAGAACTCCCGCGGGACACAGGCCCAGCCCTGGCCTCAGTCCTCCCTGCCCTCCATCCTCCTGCCCTCAGCCCCCCGGAACCAGGAAAGTCGGTTCCTTTCAGGAGGCTTCCCCGACCAGCAACAGAACAGTCCCTGCAGACTGCTGACCACACTGTGCCCAGCCTAGTGTCCACGACACCTAGGACTGAACAACCCAGGTCCTGCCCTCCCTCTAGTAGAAGCATAACTGGGGGAGGCCACCTAGAGCCTTCAGAGGTGGCCCCACGGGCCCCAAGTGAAAACTAGCCAAGCAGGGTTGAGGGGTCCCCTGGAACCCTTCTCTGGGCAGACAGACCCTCCCAAGCTCAGATCCACAAGGGGATGGGAGGTGCTGGGGGCTGCGGACCAGGGTCCCTGGGCTCCCCTGCAGGCCTGGACTTCAGCGGGCGACACCCAGTGCCCCGCCCCAGGCGGGCCAGGTCCCAGGTTTCCTGAGCCGAGCCAGGTGGGGAGCGACGGGGCTGTTTTCAGGAACCCGCACCCTGAGGACAGCGACAGGGCCCGCGGAGCAGGCCTCCCGCCCTCGCGCTGCCCGGGCTGGGCTCCCGCTCCCAGCTCCGGTGCCAGCCAGAGTCGGCCCTGGGAGGCCCTCTGGGAACTCGCTGCCAAGTGGCCTCGAGGCCGAMGGAGCGCAGCCCGCCGAGCTGCCCGCCGCAGGCCCAGGGCGCCACCCCACCCCACGCCACGCCGATCTGCGACCCCGCGGGGACCCCGCGCCGGGACTCGGGCCACTCACCTGGGAGGCGCCGGGAGGCGGGGCTGTGCGCTGGCGAGTGGCTCACCTGTCCCGCAAGGGCCGCCGGGAACCGCGCTCTGGGCTCCACGACCTGAGGGAGGGTCAGTGGGAGCGAGTGACAAAGCCCCCCCCCCAGGGGGGGCGATCAGTGACTGTCGCAAGCCTGGAGGGCAGAGGGAGCTGCACYGCCAGCCCCGCGAGGCGGCGGGCCGCGGTCACGTGACCGGCTCCCTCCGGCTGTGCCCAGCCCCGCTGGGGCACCGGCGCCGACTGCGCCCTCTGCCCGCCGACTTCCGACCCTTCTGCCCGGTCCCTGGATGTGCGCAGGGTGGGGGGTGACTGTCGGCCTCCAGGCAAACTCCGGCCCCACCCCCCAGGTTTTGTAAGACGCGGTTTCCCCAAGTTTCAAAAGGGGACCATCATCCAGACCCACCCACTTCCCAGGGCGAGGGACTGTCAAAACCCGACGGTGCGGAGCCGTGGGGCGCAGCCTTTCCACACGGTGTTGGGTAACCCCTTCCTCCCGCGCCTCGGGCGCGACATCCGCCACACCCCCAGCTGCCGCCAGCGTTATCGCCCCCTTCTGCTCGGGGCGGGGTTCCTGTGGCTTATCTAGTAAAAGTTCTGGCGATTCCTGGAGTGGGGTGGGGGGCGCAGAGGAAGACAGCGAACTTCCCAAGGGCTGCGCCCACGGCTGGGTTTTCTGTTAGTCCCTTCGAGCAGGAAGGCAGGCACTGACCTTCCTATTTCGCAGATAAGGAAACCGAGGCTGAGAAAGGATGGTCAGTCTCCAGGTGCCATCAGCCAGCACATGGGCCTTGGTCCAGCTGGGAGCTGTAAGCAGGAAACTGACTTTGAGACACCTCTCCCCCAAGCTCATGAGAAGGTGGAGGGGGCTGAGGCAGACACGTGACTGAACAGGAAGTCGAAGAGGGATGAAAGATGGGGCCCTGGGGGGGGGGGGGCGTCAGGACTCCAGAGAGCATGCAGGAGGGCGAGGACTTCATGAAATCTGTGGGAACAGGTCCAGGGATCTGAGCTTGGACTGAGGGAGAGGCCAGGTGGGGCTTCCTCGCAGCTGTAAGTGTGGTTCTCAGGTGGGCTCCCTGGGGCATGGAGGCCCAGCCCTGCCCAGGCCCTGTACCGCTCCTGCCTCTTCCCCGGCCCTTCTCTGCATGCCCAGGCGCCATGTGCATGGCCCTAGGTGAACCCAGTTGGAGCAGTGCCACTTCCTGCACACAAGAGCGTTTGAGGATCTTCCCCCTGCTCCGCCAGCCCACTGCGCCCACCAGCAGCCAGCTTGGGGGCTGGCACAGAGTGGGATCTGGAAAGCAGGAGGGGGGTGATCAGGGAGGCAGAAAAGCTCTGGAAGGATTCGGGGCTGGGATGATGGGGCTCTGAAGGAGAGGGACAAGGAGAGGGAGGTAGGGATAGGCTGCAGAGCGTCCCAGGGGATGAGGCCCGCGAACGCCAGGACAACTCCGAAATGTCCAGCCGGGAGGGGCGCTCCGGCGCCTAGGGTTGCTGCCCGAAGGCTTCTTACGGGCCAGAAGCCAGGCCCGTCCCTGGACCTGGGCTTAGGGTGGTGCTCATGATAGAGGCGGGAAGTTCAGAAATAACGCCAGAGGCCGGGTGCGCTGCTTCCCACCTGAAGGCGACCTGCGGCGGGCAGTTAAGGAGCCAAGCCCTGCACCCCGCCGCCGCTGCCCGAGGGTCGGTCCCGGCTCCCACGCCAAAAGAGGGCGCGAAGGGGCGGGCGCACGCGCTGCAGTAGCAGGGGTCCAGGTCTCTGGCCCGACACAGTGCGGCACCCGAGCGTGGCCCGAGGGCAGCGGAGCCCGCGACGCCCGCAGGGAGCCGAACCGGACCCCAGCCGGCGCGCACCGGGCCTGCCCAACCCCCGGAGCCGGCGCGCGGCTCTCCCCTGCGCCCCCGCGCCCCACGGCCGGCAGGAAGCGCCCGCTCGGTGCAGTGGAGGGCCCAGGAAACGGCGGGGAAGGCGGGGGCGGGGAGGGCAGGTTCCTGTCATGTGACCCCGGCCGCCCTCCCAGCGCTGCCTGGAGTAGCGGCGGCAGCCAGAGGAGGGGGCGCCTCCGTGGTCCCCAGGTGAGCTGGATGCAGAGCCTGGTGGAGGAGGAAAGTGGGGGTGAAATAATTGAGTCTGAAAGGCTGGGTGGGGTGTCATAACCGCGGCAGAGGCGGCCTTGGGGTCCCCTGCTCCCCTTCCCACGGCTGGGGCTGTAGCCACGCCTCCTCTCCTGGGTCGGGTGAGGGGCCCTAAGCAAACCCAGGCCCGGGAGGCTGGGTGACCAGAAGGAAGACAGAGCGGGGTCCCAGGACGTCCAGAGCTGGGGTGCTGCAGCTGGCCGCATCCTGGAACTGTCCCGGCTTGCAACAGGGGGTCTTCCTGAAGGGGAATGGGCACATGAAGAGGGGCGAGAATGTGGTTTTGCAAAGGGTGACCTGCAAGGCGCGTGGCCACAGTGACTAGGGAGTGGGAAGAGCGGCCTTGTGACGGGCATGTTCTCTGAACTTTCACCCCATTTGACAGATGGGGAGACTGAGGCCCTGTGCCATGTGTCGCTTTGAGAGGTGGAGCTGGACTTAATTCACATCCTGACCCTGCAGGATTCTCTTTTCACTCGGGGCATCCCTGGACCAAGGCCCCGAGGCTCACCACCTGGCACCCACATTCTTCCTGGGAGCAGGGGGACTGCCAGGATGCTGCGACAGTGGTCGGGGCCGTCGGGGCAGGCCCCGGGGGAGGCAGAACCCCCGCCTGCAGGCGAGGAGCTGTGGGAGCAGGAGATGGAGCGGCTCTACGCCTCCCGGGCGCCGGTGCGGACGCTGCCCTATGCCATCGTGGACAAGCGCTTCATCCGGTGGGTGGCCGGCCGCGCGGGCCGTGGGAGCGGAGGGCCTCCAGGTGGCCCAGTCAGATAGAGGGTGGAAAACCCCAGCAGCCCGATGGCGCCCTCTGCCTGGCGGGGTGGGCAGGACGGGTGACTCAGGGGCGCCCCATTGCCACTCCATCCCAGGCATCTGCGGGAGCCGAATGGAGTGAAGAGCTCGTGCTGGCAGCGGTGGCAGCGCAGGTGGCAGATCGCACGACGACGCCTGGGGGAGGCGGCGCACCGGCTGGCCCAGGGCTTCGGGCTCTGGGAGGGGGCTCTCTACGAGATCGGAGGTAGGACCCACGACGACCCCTACTTCCCACCTTCCATCTCTGGGGTCCCAATATCCAGTTTCGAAAAGAAGAGGGCACCACCCCTCCGGTCATTGCCGGGGTCCACCCGCAACGATCAGCCCCTCCATCCTCTCTCTCACACACACCCTCAGCCTCCCAAAGGCAGGTGCAAACCACGATGAATGGCAGCACCCTCTGGTGGCCCCCGGAGGTACTGCAGGGAAGCCTCGTGCAGGTCAGCGAGCTGGGCACCCCCAATCCCATGTCCTGGCCCAGTCGGATCCCAGTCGGGGCACCAGTGTCTCCCTCGCCCGCCCTGCTCTTCTCCCCACAGGCCTCTTTGGCACCGGGATCCAGTCCTACTTCACCTTCCTCCGTTTCCTACTGCTGCTCAATGTGCTGACCATRGGGCTGACTGCCAGCATGGTGCTACTGCCCCTGGCCTGGCTCCGCCCCCCGGACCCAGGCCCCGCCCAGAACTTGAGTGAGTACTGCAGCCGCCCCCTGATCCTCTGGGCACACCCTGGCATGCTGCCTGTGCCCAGCCTGGACTACCCTGCCTTGACTTTTGCATGGCACACTTCAGACACATCCACAATGTCAGGGTTGGGGCTGGACTCACGAGGGCAGACTGTTGCCCTTGCCCTTGTCATGGAGACTTCTCTTTATTGGTCCCTCCCCCTCCTCAACAGCCCTGCAGTGCCCTGGCAGCCGCCAGCCCCAGATTGGCATTGCGATATTCCACAATCAACTTTGGAATGTTTTAACTGGCAGGGTAAGTGGGGTCACCCTGGCCATGGTCCAGGGGTCCTGGGAGGCTCCTGCCCCATCCAAGGACTCTTGGTTTCTAGAGAAAGGTCTGCCACAGAGGCTGGTGGGGCCCACAGTGGGGTCAGAGAGAGGCTGGCCTCCCCTGGGCCTGCTACATGCGCAGCACAGACCCACACACACCTGTGGCCCTCAGAACACGGCTGGGGTGGGGGTTCGAGGAACAAGAGCCCATAGCGTAAAGTCCAGGCCTTTGGGACTGGAAGCCATCAAGTGGCCCTCAGGGTGGACCCCTAGGTCAGAATCCTGGCTCTGTTCCCCAGAGCTGACCCTGAGCAAGTTGCCCACCTCTGAGCCTCTGCAAGGTGGGAGCATTCTCACCTGGTGGGTTACTGTGAGTGAGGAGTTCCCCCTAGGAAGGGCTCAGTACAGAGCCTGGACGGACGTGCTCGGGGTCTCCTTCCTCGTCCCCAGGCCTTCACCAACACCTACCTCTTCTATGGCGGGTACCGGGCGGCACCCGAGAGCAGCTCTGCATACAGCATCCGCCTGGCCTACCTCCTCAGCCCACTGGCCTGCCTGCTCCTCTGCTTCTGTGGGACCCTGCAGCGGTGAGTAGACCCACGCCCCTTCCCAGGGCCGTCTTCCCTGACACCACTCCTGTGGTGGGGACCCCCAAGATAGCAGATAGACCCCCGTTTCCTACTCACTGAGGCTCCTGGTGGTTCCTCAGCCCAAACTCATGCCTCCTCAGCTGCAGACCTCAGGAGCAAGGGCCACCATATCCCCAGCCCCACACACAGGCCTCCCATGCCCAGCCCAGAGCTGGGCCACTGCTAAGGCCGAGGGGGAGGCCCCTCCGACAGCAGTCTGTGCCCCCAGGATGGTGAAGGGGCTGCCACAGAGGCTTCTCCTGGGCCAGGACTACAGAGCACCTCTCAGTGCCAAGGTCTTCTCCTCCTGGGACTTCTGCATCCGGGTCCAGGAAGCGGCCGCCATCAAGAAGCATGAAATCAGCAATGAATTCAAGGTGTGTGCAAGAGGGAACCGAGTGTGAAGCAGTGTGCGAATGAATCGTGTGTGCGTGAGAGCACRTGTGAGCGAGTGTGTGTTTCACAGGCAGAGCTGGAAGAGGACCGGCGCCTCCAACTGGCGCAGCAGYGGTCCCCCACCCAGAGGGCCTGCCACCTGCTCACCTTCCTGTGGGTCAACGTCCTCATCGGGCTCCTGGTGGTTGGGGCCATCAGTGCCATCTTCTGGGCCACCAAGTACTCGCAGGACAAAAAGGAGGTACCTGGCAATTGCCTTCCTTTCATTCTGCCAGGACTGAGGGAGGGGACAGGAATCCCACTGTGCAGACTGGGAACTGAGGCCCAAAGAAGTCAAAGCGGCCATGACCTTGTGGTCTGGCCTGTGGATGTCCTGTTGACAGAGCTCTGGATCCTGCCTGTACCCATGTCATGTCTAAGGGGCCAGAGGGGCCGGGGAGTGGACGGGGTCCTGCTCTGCAGGCTCCCTGACCTGCTACACCCCACAGGAGGACCTGTTCGTGGTGCTACAATATCTCCCCCCAGGGGTCATCGCCCTGGTCAACTTCCTGGGTCCTCTGCTGTTTGTGTTCCTGGTCCAACTGGAGAACTACCCACCCAACACCGAGGTCAACCTCACCCTCTTCTGGTGAGCACACCCTCGGGGGCCTGTGGGATGAGTCTGTCTCCTGCTACCCTGGCTGTCATCTGTCACCTAGGGGTCCCGAACCGGGAGGCTCCCTGTGTTAACCACTGCACCAGAGGACAGGCAGGTGGGCTTCCTCAGCCCCGAGGAAGCTTCCATTCTGGACCAACCACCAGCCGTTTAGAGGGAGACATTGCAACAGGCTTTGCCCACTTAGAAAAACACAGCACAGGCACACAGCTCCCTGAGGGCTTTACACCCCTAACTTGACACCCAGCACTCAGCGTGAGAAGTCCCTACCACCCTCATCCCCATTAGGTGGACAAGGAAACAGCCTCCCAGGGTGAAGTGCCCAGCCAGGCCTGACCTCAAGTTGACTTTGGGTACAGGTTCAAATGCAAGCCCTCCTGCGGCCCATGCTCCTTCCTAGCTCAGCACTTGGTCCTGTCTCTGCTCCAAACTCCTCCCAAGGACTCCTCCTGGACAGGCTCCTGAGCTCCTGAGCTCCATCAGGAGCAGCTTCTCCTTCCTCCTGCTACCCGTCCCTCTGGGACCTGCTTTTCCCTCTGCTTTCCTCACATCAACTGTGGTTGGCCTTGAAACTTTATTTTTGTAGTAGGTTAGAAATGTACGCATAGGAGCTGGAGATGCAGCTCAGTGGTAAAGCGTTTGCCTAGCGTGCGTGACACCCTGAGTTCAATCCCTAGCATTGCCAAAAAAAAAAAAAAAAGAAAAAGAAAACTTTACACATGTTAAAAAATTCAAAATGCTTAAAAGGATAAAAGATTTAAAAAATAAGCTCCCGCCCACTCCTGCCTCCCAACCTCCCTCAACTGAAGAACTACAGTTCCCCGCCCTTCTGGCCACACATGGGTACTGCAAATATCCAACCCCCGAAAATAACACGCATGCAATGGTTTTAGGCCATCAGACCTACACGGCCCAGTGAGGCATTACTTAGTAAGCACGTGCTGCATGTGCTTATGATTTGTGAGACCAGGTCAGCAGAGCAGCAGAGAAAGGAAGACCTTGGGGACATCGTGCAGCTGGGTGGCAGGGCCTGTGCTTCGCATGTGCGAATCCCTGGGTTTGAGCCTCAGTACTGCAAAATAAATAATAAATAAGGACAGTCTCACCTGTACTGAGAGGCCCCAGGTTTGTGTCCTGCAGGCTTGTCCCACATGAGATGCTAAGCTGAGAGGTGGAGTGGGGTAGCGGATTCTGTTGTGTTTCCCAGACTGACTTAAAAACAGACTTCTTCCCCAGGAATGATCTGGGGACTCGGATTCTGGGAACACCCTTTGGGAAACACTGCTGTGGACGGAGCCGCTGGAAAGAGGCTGGGCCCTGGAGTTAGAGGGGGCAAGGTGTCTCATGGACTCCACCCGGGGCCCAGCCCCTGACCCAGTACCTGCCTGCCCACAGGTGCGTGGTGCTGAAACTGGCCAGCCTAGGCATGTTCTCCTTCTCCCTGGGCCAGAGCATCCTGTGCATCGGGGGAAACAGAACCAGCTGCGAGGCCTACGGCTACAATGCCTGTGACTACCAGGTAGCCGGCAGCCTGGGGCCTGCCCCTCCCATTCTCCTCAGCAAGGCTCCCCTCCAAAACCAGACAGAGCCCTGGAGACTGCTTGTCCCCCGAGGTCTCACCTCTGTGAGAAGCTGGGAGCAGAGCGGCCACACCGCTGCCCATACCCAGGGGGTGCTCCTGTTCCACACACGCTCAGGCCATGCAGGCCCCCTGGCTGGGGGACCCAGCTCCAATCTAACCCCGAGGTTGTGTCAGCCTGGGGGAAAGGCTCCTGTACCCCTCAATGAGTGGGTGGGGCAGGGAAGCTGGTGGTGGTGGGTGCTGACTGCCCCCTCCTCTGCACCCAGTGCTGGGAGAACGCAGTGGGCGAGGAGCTGTACAAGCTGATCATCTTCAACTTCCTCCTCACCGTCGCCTTCGCCTTCCTGGTCAGCCTGCCTCGGAGGTGAGCCATGGGGGGCCCCCAGGGAGGATGCCCCGGGGCTACCGTGGGCATGGTTGGGGGTGGCCAGTGGACACAGCCAAGGTCAGCCAGGCATTTCTATGTGGGTGAGGGTGGAATGGTCCCTGGCCATGACTGATGTGGCCCACACACCCCTCTTGCCTGGTGGGCACCTGGGCACCCCCTGCCAGGCTGCTGGTAGAGCGATTCTCAGGCTGGTTCTGGACTTGGCTGGACCGAGAGGAGTTTCTGGTGCCCAAGAATGTGCTGGACATCCTGGCAGGGCAGACGGTCACCTGGGTGGGCCTCTTCTTCTGCCCCCTGCTCCCCCTGCTCAACAGCATCTTCCTGTTCCTCACCTTCTACATCAAGAAGGTGAGGGCACCCAGTTGGGTGGGAGCAGGAGAGCTGGGCTGTGGCCTTTGGCCCTCCCTCACTTCCTGGGCCTCAGGCTGGGGGCCGCTGCCTGACGATTCCTGCTGGCCCTTGCTCACCCCCAGTACACCCTCCTGAGGAACTCCAGGCCTTCCCCACGGCTCTTCCGGGCCTCCAGCTCCACCTTCTTCTTCCAGCTGGTGCTGCTGCTGGGCCTGCTCCTGGCCGCAGTGCCCCTGGGCTACGTGGTCAGCAGGTGAGAGGAGGGCTGGGAGGCGGGCAGAGGCAGCTCCTCCCTGGGGCCCTGACAACKGTCTCTCCCTCTCTCCTTCTCCAGCACCCACTCCTCCCGGGACTGTGGACTCTTCACCAACTACTCAGCCCCCTGGCAGGTGGTCCCTGAGGTGGTGGCCCTGCAGCTCCCGCTGCCTGGCCGKCGTGCCCTCAACTACCTCAGTTCCCACGCCTTCAGCTTCCCCCTCCTCATCCTGCTCAGGTGCCTCAGGGTGGAGGACCCCGGGGAGGGTGCCCTTTCCTTGGAGTGGAGTAGGACTGGCAGCCCCTGGCCAGTCTCCTGGGATCCAGAAACCAGACAGGAGTTGCCCGGGGAAGCAAGWTCCCCAAGAGAGGTGGCCTGGGGGTCCTCACGTGCCTCCCTGTAAAGCAGGAGCCTCTGGGCCCGGCTTCCTGTGTCAGAGGACTGCAGAACTCCCCCCCCGGGCGGGGGCCAGAGATGCTGTCTCCCCTTGAGGAGAGAGGCCCTGTGGTGGGAAGGTGGCTGACCTTGCATCCCTGTCCTCCCCAAGCCTGGTCCTGACCGTGTGCGTGTCCCAGTCCCGCGCCAACGCGAAAACCATCCATGAGCTCCGGAAGCAGCTGGTGTGGGTGAGTGTCCGCTGGGCTGGGGAGGGGACATGGACTTCAGAGGACACCGTCTCAGGGGTGTGGGGCCTGAGGCCTGGGACGGACCCGAGGTTGTCGGGGGTTTTATCCTGGTGGAGAGCGTGAGCTTGGCTGGGGGTAAAGACAGGTACGCGGAGGGAGCAACCGGTTCCACGGGAGCAGGACTTGAAGCTCCTCCACCCTCCAGCCTGGGAGCGGGGGCGTGGCCTCTGGCCACTAGGAGGCGGGTCTTGGGAGTGATCTAGGGCGGGGCCTCTGGTCGCGTTGGAGGAGGGGACTGTGGGCGGGGCCTCAGACACGGCGGGGGCGGGCATTGGAGAGTAACCTAGGGATGGGCGGGGCAGAGCCGCGGCAGGGAACTGGTGGGCGTGGCCTTTGGCTTCGGACCGCCATCCGCCTCTCGCTCTCCCGCAGCAAGGCCGGGAGAAGTGGCACCTGGTGGAGGACCTGTCGCGGCTGCTGCCAGAGCCTGCCCCGAGCGATTCTCGCGGGCCCGAGTCCCCTCTCTCCCGAGCTTCGCGCCCACGGTCCTTCTGCCCCGGTTTCCCTTGCCCAGGCTCCCCGGGCCCCAGGGCCCCCCGACCCGGCCCTTCCCGGGTTGTTCCCACCAGGCTGAGCCCCGGGTGTCCGGGCCCCTCCTCCAGATTCCGCTACCCCAGCAGCGGGGCTCTGTAGCGCAGACCCCATGCCCTGCYTGGACCCACTTCCTCCCCAGGCCCTCTTAGCCCATGCTCCAGAGCCCTGGTGACCACTGCCCCTCTCTGCTCCCGGGTGTCCAGCAGGACTCCCCAGAGGGGGCCAGCAGGAAGACATACGGAAATTTCTATCATGTATATTTTTATCTTATCCCTTCGAGTTTCCTTTTTTGTGGCTGTGGAAGTTTTATAATACACACGTATATTAGTATGTGAAGGCTGAACGTAACTTTCAAAATATACATCAACTGAGAGGGCGCAGAAGTTGCTTACCCAACGGTGTACTGCCATAGTTTGGAACCCTCTCCCTAGGCTGTGCCTCCTGCATGCCACCCACTTGGCCCTCCACATCTAGGGAGCCCACAAAGGTCCCGGCCATGGTCATCAAGGGGCAGAGCTGGGAGGTGAATGAACCCAGAGGCATGGGCTGCAAGGCCACACTGTACCCATATGAGAGGCCATTCCAACCCTGACCACAGGGCTCACTGCAATGAGAGGGTGTGGTCAGCCCCTCCCTTGAAGGCTCCTCACTGTCCCATCCTCTCAAACCTGTGTCAACAAGGGCACCTCAGGAAGCCAGAACCARGCCTTCCACACAACCTTGTCCTCTCAGCCTGCTCACCGAGCTGACCTTGAGCCCTGTGAGGTGAGTGGGAGCCATGTGCTGTGAGTGTGGGCTGCAGGAGGTGGCCTGACCATCACAGCCCCAAAGGCAGGGCTACTGAACCCACAGTTCCCAGCCTCCGAGAACGCGACCCTGGGGAGCCGTCAGGAGCTGGCCCCTCCCAGCCACTCTGAGGTGCTGGTCCAGGCACAGCCAGGGGCATGAGGACTTTAATTCATTTATTTAGGTACTGAGGATCAAATCCAGGGCCTCCCAGGAGCTAAGCATAGACTGTACCACTAAGCACCCCTTCGGCCCCTCCAGACTTTTGAAATCATCCAGGGGTCTCTCACATGCAGCTGGGATGGAGAACTGAGAAGGGAAGGCCAGAAGGAGCCCAGGACATGGCTGAAAATGCTCCAGCGTCTCCCTGCGTTTCTGCCCGGACACCATCCAGGCAGCTCTGGCCCGAGGCCTGGGGCTGGGGGCTTCTCATGTGATCATGAAGACTTGGCCAGTTCAGCTCCTCCTGCTGCCAGAGGCCTCCCTGAGCGATTCTCCAGGCCACAGTCCCCTCTCCCAAGCTTCTCACCCATGGACCTCTGCCCCTGCTGACCACTGACCCAGCAGTCCAGGAGGGAACACAGATTAGGTGCTAAGTGCTAGGTCCTGGTCTGGGAGCTGCCTATGAGACCCGGAGGAAAACCGACAAACTGTGTTCAGTCTGCAGAGGGCCACGGGCCTGGCCCAGGTGAAGGTGGCATATGTTAATTAGCAGATCCCTGGACCCCAGCAGCAACATCTGGAAGCAGGTTAGAAATACAAACTCTAGGGCTGGGGATGTGGCTCAAGCGGTAGCGCGCTCGCCTGGCATGCGTG